AAGCAACTCCCCGGTTCACTAAAGCCACACTTGGGTTGAAATTGTTCCCGTGGTCTGTGTCAGAGCCTTGATGTTCGTCCTTGGCTCCCCAGGAAAAGTCATACAACACCTAAGCTAGCATGGAACTCACTAGGCTAGCCTCAAACCCAAGACAGTCTCACTGTATCAACCTCTGGGATTGATGCGGGGATGACAGGCATAAGCCAACCACGTTTGACTAGCAAAACACAATCCTGCAAAATGGTACTGTCATCCTCATGATTTTTTAAATGTAGTACCGTGGATCAAAAACATGCAAAATATCCATTAACTCAAGGCTAGCTCAGGCCACATGGCAAGACTCGTCTCAAAAAAAAAAATTAAAAAAAAAAAAAAAAAAAAACGGCCAATGAAATGGCTCAGTGGGTAAAAGCACTTACTATCAGGTCTGATGACCCGTGGTTCATTCCCAGGACCCACGCTGCGGAAGGAGAAAGCTCCCTGCCGTGAATTGCCGTCTGACCCCCACAGACACCACACACAGTCACCTGTGCCCATAGCCCTGAACTTCCTATGTTCTTTCACAGAGGATGAAGGAACGAGCTATGGAGAACAGAGTTATTTACCCCAGCTGCATTCATCTCACACTGTCGCTCCTCCCCGTGCCTTGTCCCTGGAGTCCAGCCGAAAAAAAAAAAAACCCACAGTCAAGACCCTGGATTCTTGAGAATTTGTTCCACTCCCAGGCACAGCGTTGAGTCCAGCATGGAGCGAGGGCCCCCCCGAAACCAGGCTGGTTCTATCTAAAACGGGCAGGAGATTAAGCTGAACGTGGCTCCCCCGAGATCCACAGGATGAGTCCCTTCCTCTGTACCACTTTGTCCTCCAGAGGCAGCTGTCCCATGCCCCGGCATCCCTGACAGTTCCGATGCCCTGATCCCCCCGCGTGACAGTGGCCAGGATGGACAGAGCGTGCATTGCACAGCGTGATGCAGACGCCGAGGAGTTCCTTCATCACCTTTCATCAGACAGCGTGGTTTGAACAGAAGTCTGCCAAGCTTGCCACGCCAGCCATGCCTTCAGGCCGCCACTCCCTTCAGGCCCTAGAGCTACTGAGAAGAAACGCTGCAGTTGGGGCTTAACAAACAGGAAGTGGGGAGGCAGCGAGATGGCTCAGCGGGTCAAAGATGACCGAGCCTATGACCAGAGTTTGATCCCTGGGACCCACATGCCTGAGGGAGAGGATAGACTCGTCCAAGCTGGCCTCTGCACACACGCCATGGCACAGCCAAACAATCAATAAATCAATGTTTAAAAAAGATAGAAACTCAGGGGTCAGTGAGGTATCTCACTGGGTAACAGAGCTTGCCGCCAAGCTTTATTTGACCTTTCTTTTATTTCATTTGACTTTTTTAAAATTTATTTGATTTGACCTTTATTTGACCCCAGGACACACCTGGCCAAAAGGAGAGAACCAGTTCCTAAAAGCTGACTTCTAACCGCCACATGCATGTGCTGGCACATGAGCAAGCAAGAGCGTGCACACCTGCGCCCACACGTGTACACACACATAATAACAACAATTAGTAAGGTGAAAAAAAAAATAGAGATTCACTGTTCTGGAGACTCAACCCCAAAAGCAAGGTGTTGGCAGGACCTGCACCCTCAGAGGCGTCTAAGTACCAGGACAAAATGCTCCCACATCCCTTGCCTGCATGCTTATGGCTGGCTCCTCCTCGGCTTCTGCCGTTTCAACTTTCAGGAAGTGGCGGAGAGGTGCTGGAGAGAGGGCTCCATGGCTAAGAACCCTGGCTGCTTCTTCAGAGGACTCGAGTTTGTTTCCCAGCAGCCATGTGGTCGCTCACAGCCACCTGTGACCTCAGTTCCAGGGCATCTGACACCCACTTCTGGCCTCCGCAGGCACCAAGCACATACGTGGACCATACACGCAGACAAAACATTCACACGCATGGAAGTAAAAGAATAGCCTCAAACAGATACTCTTCAACGTGGGAAAGATGCAGGCAGTAAGAAGCACGGTCTTTTGGATCCTTGCTGTAAGGAAGCAGGAAAGGAGCTCCCTGAGGTGACCAGGAAGGAGTCCTTCCTGGAGCTCTGGCAGCAGGCTGCGTGGGAAGAGCTGACCTTCAGAGAGTTTGACCCAGGCAGCCAGGACTTCACAGCGGCAGCAGCCTTTTCAGAAACACGTGTCCCTTGCTGGAATCTCCCCGAAACAACCTCAAGAGGGTTTGCTTTCTTCACCAACATGACAAATGGTAGGCATAACTTCTAATAAGCACCTTCATCGTGGGGTTCCCCCACAGATCCTCAGGAAATCTGGAGGGCTGTGACCCCAGGTTTCCATCTTCAAGAGTTTTAGCCTCTTGGCCTAGGCCCTTCCTTTGACCGCCTGTGGACAGCAGGCTGAGCTCAGGGAGAGAAGCTTTCAGGGTAGCCCTCAAGCAGTAGCAGGAAGTGGGGAGAAATACCCCAATTTTCTTGTCCTCGGGGAAGAAAGCCACCTGGCTGCCTCTCCCTTTCTTCTCGTCAAAACAAATCCAGAGTGGAAGAGCTGCTGAGCAGGAATGGCCTGAGGCCCGAGGCTCACGGCTGAGGGCTACAGACGGAGACTCGAGACTGCCCTTCAAGCCCAGACACGCACAGAGCGCACAAGCCACACACTAAGTAGTCACCTTTCCCCCAGCTCTAAGAGGACTGATTGAGCAAGACGACATCTGTGATCACAGCGGCTCCCGGCTCTGCAGGCCGAGCCCCGCGGACACTTGGATTCCCGCCAGTCCTCACTGGGGTGCTAGCATCACACCGCCTGGACCGAGGAGACCCGAACTACAGACTTGAAGACGTTCGCCCGAAGGCTTGGCCGTCGAGGCCTCCGGCTTCGGCTCCCGTGCTCGGAGAGGGTTTCCTCGCTTGTTTTCCTGTCTCCCTGGCAAGGGAGCGGGCAGGCCAGACTGGCACACAAGGATAACAGGAAGCAGGCTGGCTGAACACTTCACAGCACCTAGGCCTGGACAAGCAGGACCTCTCTTGGTGACGGTGCCAGAGCCAACAGCACCCTGCTCCCAGCATACTCCAGGACACAGCGACGTCTTGGGCTGCAAAAACAGCTTCAAGAGCTTTCTCATGTCCCAGCCAGCCCTTTCCCAAGGAGAAATTCCATGAGCATTCTTTTTGTTTGTTGTTTGTTTGTTTCAAGGCATGATCTCACTCGAGGGCTGCACTCGAACCCACTCTAAAGCATGACCTGGTCTCAAATTTACAGATAACCTCCTGCCTCAACAGCCTCCCAAACTCTGAGATTATAACAAGGCACTGTTGAGCCTGGTTCAGTTTTTGTTGCTATTGATTTTTTGTTTTTCCAGACAGGGTTTTTCTGTGTAGCCCTGGCTGTTCTGGCACTCACTCTGTAGACCAGGCTGGCCTCGAATTCACAGAGATCCCCCTGCCTCTGTCTCTCGAGTGTTGGGATTAAAGGTGTGTGTCACCACGGCCCCGCCTGGTTCAGCATTCTTAGTAGTCGCATTGAGCACAAACTGAGAGGCCCTAGCTTCCCAGTGTAGGGATTAGAAGCATGCATCACTATGCCAGGTTTCCTTCTAAACTCCAGCTCCTCTGGAGCAGCTGGCCATTCGCATTCCCTGGAGTCACCTCGTCTAAGAACACGCCTCTTCTCTATCAGTTCATCTGGCAGACTGAAGACAGTTCTGACTTAGTGCTATAGGAAGATAGGGGTAGCAACCATATCCTGGAAGGTTCCAAACAGTTTTGCCATTTGCCCAGCAAACACCGCCATAAGTTGTTGAGGTGACACCCTATGCCAACGGGCCTCATTCTCTAAGAGTTACCACCCTGGTCCTTCCCCACACTCAGCCATAGGCAATGCAAGCACACTAATGCCAAGGGGCAGCCTCACCACCCAGAGCTGGATCAAAAGAGTAAATGCTATCTGGTTCATTCCCTGCCACCAGCTCTGGGCTGAGCCTGAGCTGACCTCCGGCAACCTCCCAGAAGGACCTGCACAGTCACGACCAAGCCAATCATCATTCCTTTCACTGAATTCAGTAGGGTTTAGGATGGAGACCTCCAAAATGTGGCATTTGAGAAAACAACAGGAACTTGAGAGTCTCGTGGCACGGTCCTGCCCCCTCCCTTAAACAGGCCACAGAAGAACTCTCGGGCCTTCTCTGGAAGCAGGTCATAGTGGTAAGTGTCATTTGAGGGCAACTGAGCTGGGGTGCTGCACGATCAGCAGGCACCAAAGCCACCCTGAGGGTGGTGGCTTGAGAATTGCCCCCAGGGACTCCATCCGCAGTGGGTGGAGCTATCAGGGAGGTTTAGGGGGTGTGGTCTGGCTGGAGGTAACAGCTCAGGGGGCGGGGCTGAGAGTTTACAGCCTTGCCTCACTTCCAATTGCTCTCCCTGCTTTGTGCTTGTGATTAAAGATGTGACCTGTCGCTCCGGCCCTACGGTCGTGCCTGTTGCTGGGTGCCATGTTTCTGTCCTGTTATGATGAACTCTCATCCCTCCGGAACCAGAAGCCAAACACACTCTTCGGTAAGTTGCCTTTGGTCAACGGTGTTTTATCACAGCAGCAGCAAAGGTACCACACACTGAGTCAGGGAGTCTCAGGTCCATCTCGTGCCCAAGAAGAATGAGGAAAAGATGACAGGGAGTGAGCAGAGGTGATGTTCATTGATCAAGGAAAGGGAGAAAGAACTCCTGAGCATACGGAGTTCCAAGGGAGAAGCAGTGTGCTGCTCTGCGTGGCCCTTTGTGGGACACATGTGGGAAATGGATGACAGCACATAGAATCTACTTTTGAGGGGTTGTTTTGGAGCACGTCACTAGCTGAGCCAGTAAGGATTCCACATGCTTTTGTCCTCTGACCTCCACACCAGGCATATGGTACATGCACACCTGCACACATGCACTAAATATATATATACCTACGTATGTACACACACACACACATACATGTACCTACATACACACATACGTACAAAAATAAATAACCAAACAGAAAGGCATCACTGAGTGTCCAGGGCTGAGGATAAACAAAAGGAAAGCATTAAATACAAAAGGCTCTAAGGGAATTTTGAGGATAATGGACCTGCTCTGCAACTGGACTGTAGTGAAAGCTCTCCAGCTGTACACATTTGCTGACAGCCACAGAACTGTACACCACAGAGAAGGGTAAATTTTACTGTAAGGAAGGACATGGGCCATGGAGTTGGCATGGCAGAACAGCACTCCATTTCCTGAGCTACAGAACCCTGGGTAGGCTGAGGCTTCCCAGCCTTGTTCTCATCTGCACACAGGACAGAGTAGCTCGTACTTCACAGGTTTGTGAGAGGATTTAGTGGGTGACATGTGTCACCTGGTGCCTGGCACCCTCTCTCTGCACCAGAGGACTAGTTATGATCATCCAGCAATGTAGTTATATGCATCTAATTACGTGTCCTAGTATGAGTTCTTCCCAGAAGTCCTGAGATCTGTCTGCCCTGCCCTCCACCGCCCCAGGCCTCCCTCCACCAGCCATCCAAGACAGGATTCCTGGGGAGAAAACGTAGCATCCCTGAGGATGCCAGGAACCAGTTTGGTCTGTGCGGAGCTGGGTGTTGCAAAAACATGGCTTAGAGTTACAACTGCCAATGTGGGTAGAGGGGTTATGTCTATTCCCTGCCACAGGCTGTGCCCTACAGCTGAGCCAGTAAACTCACAAAGGGTAAAAACTCACAAGGTAAAAAGAAATGTTCTTCTTCATTTCAGTCTCTCATTGTGTCTTCTAATTTCCTGGAACATAGTAGACATTCAGTAGCTTCTTGGCATATTATGGGGCATGCTAAACCTTGTTTGATTACCCAATACTTGGCCAGCTGTAGCCCACAGGTATAGGTCACACCTCCTAGCCAACCTCTTGAAAAATCCTCCTGCCTGTCTGAACACACACACAGGCACACCTAGGGAACACTATTCTACACGGAGGATTGTATGTGAAGTAGCCCAGTGATTATACAGAACAAGAGGAAGCTCCCCCAGCAGATTTACATTGATGAGGATGAGAGTTCAGGACTGGTGTGCTGGCCCATACCATAATTCCAGGACTCAGAGAGCTGGAGCAGATGGACCCTGAATTTGAGAACGGCTTAAGCTACAGAGTGAGACCTTGTCTCAACAAACGAACAAGAAGCGGGTGAATTGGAGGGTGCTGACCACCTGCGCGCTATAGGCAGGTGCCGCTTGCTCCTTTGATCGTGGGCAGAGCTGGTGTGCAGCGAATATTGCAGAGGAGATCTCTTGGCTACTTCTCAGCCCTCAGCTTGCATATGCACACTGTCTGATCGCAGAGACCTTGTCCCCTGGGGGCCGTATTTTTCAGCAGATGCAGACCCATTTCAGGACTGATGACCTGTGACTGGGAAACTCTGTCGTACCTTGTCAGGTCACACTGTGTTTCGTGGGAACTGATGATGGTGGAGGCAGGGACCATGAGAGAGCTGATTTGAAGAAGAGGAAGGGACTATTGTTCTGTTTCACTTTAAGACAGGGTTTCACACTGTCCGTGATGCTGGATTCAAACTGATGTGAGCCTTCCTGCCTCAGTTCTGGAATATAGGTGTGAGCCAACACACCCAGCTAGAGGAGTGCTTTTTAATGGAAATAGCTTATTTACAGAAGACCTCATGTCCATTTCTTCTGCAGCTTTGAGACTACTCGTCTCAAAGGGGGATTAGAAAGACACACGGCCCCAGGAGGTGGGAGCAAAGAGCAGAAGAACCGAGAGCTTTACCCAATGTGTGCGATGTTACTTCTAATTACAATTTAAGACCACTGTAACAGGCCCCAGACCTTAGCACAACTGACTCCATGATGGAGGAGCCACCCAGGCTGTAAACACGTAGACAGCACCACCTGCCCAAACAAAAACAGAGACCTAATCCATCACAGTCCACAGTGTGGGAAAGTCTCGAGATATACTAACCTTGCCTTTTGGCTTCTGTAGTTCCACTTCTGGCTAACTGTTCTTGCTAACTGAGGTGTGTCAACCCAGGATGTGGTTTTTGTGCTTAAAAGCTCACCCTGAGAAAGGCTCAGTCCCGAACACCCAGTACCACCACTGGCCAGCTAATAAAGTCTTTGTATTGCCTTAACCCCATGTCTGCGCCCTCTCCCCTGCTGTGTGCCCCACAGCACCATAGAAAGGAGGAGTGATGGGCATGGGCCACATACTTGCATTCCCAGGACCAGGAGGGCTCAGGCAGGAAGACCACGGTAATGGTCGATCTTCGTGGTTAGCTTGATTGACTCTGAGATCACCTAAGAGACACACCTCTGGGGCAGCTCTGTGAGGACAGTCCCTGCAAGGACTGACTGAGGAGAAGACCCTCCCCCGGAGCCGACAGCACATTCTGGCAGCAGCCGAGGTAGAGAGAGACTGGAAGAGAAATAATGCTTTTGACCAGCCCTCCTTGCCGGCACACTCATCTATTCTGTTGCTGAAGCTGCTGTCCTTCACTGACAACAGAACTCTCCCTCCCTCCCAACCCCCCCTCCCTCCTTCCTTCCCTCCCTCCCTGCTTCCCTCCTTCCTTCCTAACTAATGCTGTGGAATGGGCATTGCATCCTCGAGAGAATAGTTCCGCGTTTACCTGAGTACCCCGTACTTTCCTTGGAAAGAGCACCCCACACAGACCACCGACGCATCCTGATGCTTGAATGAATGGACTAACAGTCAAATCGTGACAGCCCCAATCTCCGAGTTCCTTCAGACTCTTCCGATTGCCAGGTCAGCCACGCCCCCGACCGCCAGCCCAGACATCCTGCTGGCTTGTGACGCTGCCTTGAAAGCCCCAGGACGGCTCCTGTGGGAATTCAAGGGCCAGGCTGAGGAATGAAAAGGACGGGGCTTGGGGTGGGGGGTGTTGAATCAGCCTAGGCTCAAAGGCTAAAAATAACCAGCTTTGTAGACTTCCTCCAACTAGTCTAGGCCGGAAAAGGGGAGGGGGTGGAAGATCGTCTGCACCAATCCAGAGGAAGCTGCGCCGGCGAGGACAGTTAAACGGAGCATCTACCCCCGTCACCCTGTAGCTAGAACTCCGTTCCCATCTCTTTTAAAATGAAGGCAACTCAAGAGACTTGATGGGTTCTCTCCTTCGGTCGCACAGTTTAGAGGAGAGCGTGGGCAGGCACAGCAGACGCCCAGCCTGAGCCTCTGTCTCCACGAGCTCTGCTCTGGCTCCCTTATGGCCGCTCTGTGTTGTCCCACCGACGCTAGGGCTGTGGCTGCCGATGAACCACGCATGTAGGGTTTCATGATGAAAGAGATGACGGCAGAAAGTGCTTTCAATTTGGGGGAACCCCAACTGACACTGCAGTCTGGGAACGTTCAGAGGCAAGTCTTGCAGATTTCTCTCAGGAAGACAAGGAGTAGGCAAATATCTAGACTTCATGTCACATGGTCACAGAGGCACAGGTCTATCTATTATCCCAATACTTGTGATGTTGAGGAAGGAGGGTCACCTAAGCTCAAAAGTGCAAGACCATCTCAGGCAACATGACAAAGTCAGTCTTTAAAGATCAGGTCATCAGCACTCGGGAGGCAGAGACAGGCCCCCACATCTCTGTGAGTTCAAGGCCAGCCTGGTCTACAGAGTAAATTCCAGGACAGCCAGGGTACACAGAAAAATCCTGTCTTGAAAAAACAAAATAAGCAAACAAACAAAAAACCTACAAACAAACAAAAAAACCCAGGTGTTTGGTACATGGCAGTAATCCCAGGTATGTCCTACTGCTTGCTGTATGCAGGATTTTTGTTTGTTTTGAGACAGAGTCTCACTATGTAGCCCAGGCTAGCCTCAGACTCACAGGGATCCACGTGCCTCTGCTTCCTAGGAGCTGGGATTAAGGGTGTATGCCACCATGCCCAGTTTATATCTAGGACTTTGGAAGCATCTGAAATGCACTGTGGGACAGATGATTTTGACTGTCAACTTGGTGACATCTAGAATCACTATGGAAACAAATCTCTGGGCACATCTATGAGGGGACACCTAGATTAGGTGTTAATTGAGGTCAGAAGACCTGCTCTAAATGTTGGTGCTATCATTCCAGGTCATACACTAAACTGAGAGAGAGAGAGAGAGAGAGAGAGAGAGAGAGAGAGAGAGAGATACAAGCACTCATCTCCCTCTACTTCTAAACTGTGGGTTCGATATGACCAGCTACCTCAAGCTCTTGATGCTGTGGCTTCCCTGCCGTGGCTTCCCTGTCGTGATGCTTGGTACCCTAGAACAATGAGCCAAGATAAACCCTAAGTCCCCCCATTGCTTTTGTCAGGATATTTTTGTCACAGCTACAAGACAGTAACTAATACCTATTGCTCAGTGGTTATGTAAGGGACCCTTACCTCCTCTATCTCAGTCACCCTTCTCACAAGATTATTCTGAGGCTCTGCAGGTGCCTTGGATGGGAGAAAGGCCTTAGATGATGGTTGTTAATTGTATTGGAATTCTTGATTCTTGGTTGGTAGGAGGCTTCAGCCAGACTCCTCTTCCTTCTCATGTCCCCATAATTTTCCTTGCTGTTGTAGAATATTATTATTATTGTTATTGTTGTTGTTGGTTTTTTTTTTTTTTTTTTTTTTTTTTTTTTTTTTTTTTTTTTGGTTTTTCGAGACAGGGTTTCTCTGTGTAGCTTTGCGCCTTTCCTGGTACTCGCTTTGGAGACCAGGCTGGCCTCGAACTCACAGAGATCCGCCTGCCTCTGCCTCCCGAGTGCTGGGATTAAAGGCGTGCGCCACCACCGCCCGGCTGTTGTTGGTTTTTTAAGACAGGGTTTCTCTGTGTAGTTTTGGTGCCTGTCCTGGATCTCGCTCTGTAGACCAGGCTGGCCTCGAACTCACAGAGATCTGCTGCCTCTGCCTCCCGAGTGCTGGGATTAAAGGCATGTGCCACCACCGCCCAGCTGTAGAGTATTATTTTAAGCTGTGTTACTTTTGTTTATGTTGCATTTGTTTAATTCTGTGAAGTTGTGTTACTGCACCTGCCTTGTCTTCATCTCCAGGTTTCCTTCCGAGCCTGTTTTTAAGTTCTTTTATCTTCAAGGTCTCAGGAAAGAACACTTAGCCTGTTACTTCAGGCTTCATCTCCCGGTGCCTCCTGACTCTCCACGTGACTGGATCTGAGCCTCACATTTAAAGAAAGGCCAGAATCCCACACCTGGAAGGCTGAGGCAGGAGGATTGCCAGAAGTTCAAGGCCAACTTGGGATACATTGTGTGTAATGGGACAGGCCCATAGGGTCCAGGAAATTGGCTCAAACCAGTTGCTAAGGCATGCACATAATGTACTGCCTTATGAGCCAACCTGGAGTCTGCCTGAGGGCCTAGCAACAGTCGCTGTAGGAGTTCCTGATCATGTCCAGCCAATGAGGGACAACCATGCATTGTAACCAGACTGGGACACAGCTTGTGTGCCAGGAGGAGGTTATATAAGCCCTTCCCCATTATTGAATAAATGAGTCCGCTGTTTGCCTTCAACTGACTCCCGGTGTCTGTGTCATTGATGCCGCACCTTCTCACTCCCTCCTCCAAGGGAGCCATTAGGATCCAGCAACAATTGTGAAACTATCTAAAAAATCAAAATAATTTTGTGGGTCAACGAGCCAGAATCCATCCTTAGTAACTTCTGATTCCTGCCCTGTTTTTTCTAAAACAGTTTTGGCTAAAAACTCCCCACTTGTTATGCTCTGGTTTGAACTCAGTTTAATGGCTCCTGAATTGAATATTAAATATCTTTTTAACACTTTACTGTCCAGCTCTGGATCACCCTCTCTTCCTCTTCCTTTTTTTTTTTTTTTTTTGAGACAGTCTCACATAACTCAGGCTGACTTCAAATTTGCTGTGTAGCTAAAAATGAACTCTTGATCCTCCTGCACACAGATGCACAACACATGCACACATGTGCACATTCTCTTTCCTATCTTCTTTTTTGAAAGGCAGGGTCTCACTCTATAACCCAGGCTAACCTCAAACCCATAGTAGTTGTCTTGCTCAGTCTCTGAGTACTAGATTCTAGGTGTGTGCCACTTTGTCCAATGCTCAGTTCATTTATGAAGGTGGATCAACCTAAACTATCCTTACACTCTCTGTTGCATCAAAGACTAAAGGATCAAGACCCAGACAAGAGGAATAACTATTCACTCTGAAAAATGACTTCCTTTCTCCCAAAGTAAGCTGGTTCTGGAAAAAAAAAAAAAAAAAGAGTCCTTTAGAAGAAAGAAAAGACAGGCAGGAAACAATCCCACAGAGCACAGACATCTTCAGCTACATACTCATGGTTAGGCTGAATCTCTCCCAGAACTGTGTGGAAACATGAGAATCCCCTAACGTCATCATCCCATGGGGCTGAGTAGAAGCACCAACTGTCCTCAGGCCACATTGAAAATCTAGAAGCCCCCAAGATATTAACCTACATACTAATACCAAGGGCTTTGTGGAGAGCAGAATATGTCAAAAGTCATCTAAAGGAGTAACAGTACAGCCTGGGCTCCGCTGTCCTCGGTTATTTTAGGTATTTTAAACCATAAGTGCAATTAAAACGAAAATCAATGTTCTCAACAACTAAAAGGCAATCAAGTTACTTAAGCTCCCTCTCAACAAATACAGCCATGGTTTCTGGGAGTCTGTCTATAGCATTTGGGCACTGTTCAGACACCAAATTACTTAGCCAGCAGACGAGAGTGTAGGGAGTTCCAGTCACCCAATCAAGAGGCTATTAAAATATGAGTCATGAATCTCCAGTTCTGCCCCAGTTCACCAAGGACACTCTGACACCCCTCATCCTTGCTGGGAGGCAGGTCTGAGGGGATGGGACGTCTAGGCATTCTGCTTTCTCCTCCTCTTAGCTGTAGCCTGTGATGGCTACACACATTTATCATCAGGGGCCTTTTGTTACACAGGTACTATTTTTTTCAGGTTTAACCCTCAGCCTTAATCCTGGGTGCTTCCCACTTCTAGGATCTCTGTGCCTCTGGCAGTGAGAGAACAACCAAGCTCTTAATGAACTTGATTTGTTCCCACCCTCCAGATCGGAGCATCAGGGGACAGAGAGGTGTCTGACCTTGAATCTGAGCTCAGTGAGGATCTGTACCTGATTGGAAGAGAAGAGAGTCTCCTCAGGAGGTGACTGATGCTGGGAGCTTGCAGCACTCAGGGCCCATCCCATCAACACTGATGGTGGCGATTTAAATGAGAAATGTCTGCCATCTTCTCCAGCATTTGAATGTTTGGTCCCCAGTGGGTGACATTGCTTGGAGAGGCTAGGGAGGTGTGGCCTCACTGGAGGAGGTGTGGCCTCACTGGAGGTGTGGCTTTGTTGGAGGAGGTGTGGCCTCGTTGGAGGAGGTGTGTCACCAGAAGCGGCTTTCAGAATTTAAAGATCGAAGCCATTTCTAGTTACTCTAAGCGCTGTGTTTGCAGTTCCTGTCCCTGCTGCCATGCCTTTGTCCCGCCATCGTGGACTCTAGCCCTCTGGAACCATAAGCCCAGATACCCTTTTCCTTGGTCAGTTTCCTTGGTTACGGTGTTTTATCACAGCAACAGAAAAGTAACCAATACACAAACGCTGAGTCCATCGGTGCCTGTCACCCATTCTCACACGAACCGGAAACTTCTGCGGGCTTTGCCCTTTAAACGGCTGTCACAGCTGCCTGATCTGCACAGTGGGATACCAATGTCGCTGAGGTGGCAGGCAATCTAATTCCACTTGATGACAGAACCCATCACCTGAGAAAATAATTGTAATACCTGTTTCCGTGTCCTCCTGTGTTAGGAAATGGGGGAAAGGAGTCTTTCTACCCTTAAACTTTTCCAGTCTAACCTTTTTATCCATCAGCTGCTCTTGGATGTTTCTAGACTACAGGATTTACTTACTTATTACAAGCATGTTATTTTTAAAAAAATTATAGCTGTCTCTTAATTTTTAAAAAGAAGAAGAAAAGTTATCCAATTCAAATGGAAGTAAAGGAGGTGGGAAGCCAGACTTGGTGGCACAAACCTGTAATCCCAACATTAGAAGGAAGTAGAGGCAGAGTGATCAGTAGGTCAAAAGTTATCCTTGTCTACAGAAAGCACTTACAGCAGCCTGGACCTTGTCTCATGCCGGGTCCCGCCCAGCCCGTCGAACATTCTTAAATAGGGGAGTGAGGATTGAGAAATAACAGATATGAAAAATAGAGATGTAGGCATAAAAGAAAAGGAAAGAGACACAGAAAAGGTTCGGGAGGGCTCTGAGTCAATACCACAGTCGCTCTGAGCTTATTACTTACAGCATTTTTATACCCAAAACAAGGGGGGCAAAAGACCTCCCCTCTCAAGGACATCATGGTTCAAAGTACAAACAAGTGTAAACACCTCCTTAATTCTCAAGACACCTAGTAACCATGCCTTTGGCCATACATCCTGTTATCCAGCCTTGAGGAATAAGACAAGCTTGGGCTCTCTGACCTTGAGTCAGGACGGAAATCAAGCCACAAAGCCAGAGTTCTTGTGGGCTCCCACAGCCTCAAACAAGACAAAATACAAAATGGGCGAGAGAAAAGCCTTTGGTCTGTATCTACAAAGTCAGCCAATCATGTATCCAAAATAGGTGGGCAGGTATAATAGTTCAATTGTAGAGAATTTGCCTAACATACTCAAGGCTCTGGCTTTGAACCTAAGCACCACATAAAACTGGGCATGGCAACACAGGCCTGTGATCCTGGTCCTGAGGAGGAAGAGGCAGGAGGATCAAGAGTTTAAGTCATCCTCATCTATATACTGAATTCAAGGTCAGTCTCCCAAGTGCTGGGATTACAGACATGTGCCACCAAGCCCGGCTTAAAAATTAATTTTATAAATGCTATACTTAAAAACTGAGAACAGTGGTACATAATTATAATTTCAATGCTCAAAATGAGGTATGATCAGGAGTTCAAAGTCATCCCTGGCTGCATATTGAGTTTAAGGCTAGCCTGGGCTACATGAAACCCTGTCTCAAAGAACAACAACAAAATATTTGAACTACATTTTAAACATAAGCTTGAAAGGAGAGCAAGACTACTTCATTTACTTTGTTGTTATTGTTTTTCGGTGTGTGTCTATGCAATGGAGACTGGGAATGACTGTTGCTATGACACTCAAGAACCCTTTTTTTTTTTTTTTTTTTTTTTGGTTTTTCGAGACAGGGTTTCTCTATGTAGCTTTGCGCCTCTCTGGAACTCACTTGGTAGCCCAGGCTGGCCTCGAACTCACAGAGATCCGCCTGGCTCTGCCTCCCGAGTGCTGGGATTAAAGGCGTGCGCCACCACCGCCCGGCTCAAGAACCCTTTTTGAGACAGGGTCTCTCACTGATCTGAACTCACTCATTAGGCTTGTTTTCTCCTTTCTTCTCTGTGCCTGTGATAAAAGACTCTGATTAAAAGCAACTTAGGGGGAAAGGGTTTAATTTAGCTTAGAGGTTTAATTTAGCTTAGAGGTTCAATTTAGCTTAGAGGTTGCAGTCCATCATTGAAAAGTCAGGGCAGAAACTTAAGCAGGACTTGAGGTGGAAACCATGGCGGAGCACTGCTTGCTCACTC